GGAGGAGGAGGAGGAGGAGGAGGAGGAGGGCCCCGCCCCCCGCGCCCTTCGCGGCGGGGAGGCGGCGGATGCCGTCCTGGAGCGCTACGTGCAGAGGTTTGCCTCCGAGCCCTGGGACTCGCTGGCCGGGGCACCGGCCGGCCCAGGGCCCGCGAGCGGAGGGCGCGAGGCGGACACGCCGGCCGCCCGGCGCGGGCTCATCGCTGCCGCGTCGGGGCTCCTCCGCGAGGTCTTCGCCGGCTGCGAGGCGGCGGCGGAGAGGGACTTCCTGCTGGGCGTGCTCCAGGAGTCGAAGAAGGCGAAGAAGAAGAAGAAGAAGAAGCGGTCGGGAACTTCGGATATGTAGCGTGTCGCTCCGCCAGCGTTCTGGCCCACCCCGCCACGAGGGAGGCGGGAGAAGGGAGGAGGAGGAGGAGTGAGGAGGAGGGAGGAGGAAAGGAGGAGGAGGAGGAGGAGGAGGAGTGAGGAGGAGATAGGATGGAGGGAGGAGGAGGAGGGAGGCAGGCAGAGAGGAGGAGAAGGAGGAGGAGGGAAGGAGGAGGAGGACGAAGAGGAGGAGGGAGGCAGGAGGAGGAGGAGGAGGTGGGAGGAGGAGGGGGAGGAGGAGGAGGAGGAGGAGGAGGAGGAGGAAGAGGAGGAGGAGGAGGAGGAGGACGAGGACGACCAGGAGGAGGAGGAGGAGGAGGAGGAGGAGAAGGAGGAGGAGGAGGAGGATGGTTCGGTGCGACACGCGATCCGTGCAGAGGTTTTCCCGAGCTCTCCGTAATTACCACGGAGCGGAGCGGCGCGCCATGCGCCCGCGGGGGGCACGGCGCGTCGCTCCGGGCCGCCGTGGCGGCACGATGTCCCAAAGGTGCCGGCCATCGGTGTGCGTGACTTGCGGGAAGACGGCGGCGAGCGATGGGGGGGGAGTGAGAATGAGAAGGTCTTCTCAGAAGGTTCGGAAGCCCCTCGGCCTTCTGAGAAGTTTTCAAAGCCTTCCCCGAAGGCACAAACAACTCCTCAGATGGGCCGCCGTGGCGGCACGATGTCCCAAAGGTGCCGACCATCGGTGTGCGTGACTTGCGGGAAGACGGCGGCGAGCGAGGGGGGGAAGTGAGAAGGAGAATCTCGGGCGAAGAGAACTATGCACATGCACCGATCCTGACAACGCCCATCCTTGACCCAGGATCGGTGCATATACCTTCCTGGCCAAGGTAGGAGGGCGTATGCACCGATCCTGGGCTCAGGATGGTCCTGGCCAGAATCGGTGTATGTGCATAGTTCTTTTTCCTCTAGAATCAGAGCGTGAATTACCTACCCCGCTTTCGCTTCTAAGCAAAACCAAGTCATACCACGCGCCTCCTCGTCGAGCGACCTGTCCACAGTACAGGCCGTAGTCTGGCATCGCTTGGTGTCTCTTGGAAGCGAGGGTGGTCAAAAGCGAGGTAGGTTTGTTTTCCCCTTGGAGAAGGCCCTCTCAGAAAGTTCGGAAGCCCCCGGCCTTCTGAGAAGTTTTCAAAGCCTTCCCCGAAGGCACAAACAACTCCTCAGAAGGCGCGATGGCTTCTGAGAAGCCCGCCGCCTTCTGAGACGGTCTTCTCCTCCTCACTTCCCCCCTCGCTCGCAGCCGAAGAAACGGAAGGAAGGAGGTCGCAAGCAAGGCATCTCATGTTGGTTCCCGTGCCGTCTGTTTTTTTAATTGGGGGCCAGATTTCAAGGGATCCTTGTAGACCCCCCAGGTGCATAGAGAATTACGGTCGAGGGCAGCAATTAGTGGACACTCCCCCGCCCCCAAAAACTCAAAGTTGACACGCGCGGGGGGAGACTGCGGTCGAAGTGCAACTCGTCCAACCCACCGCCAACGTTGCTCATTGGGGGGTGTCATTAACACATGAGTGGGGCATGGGTCTTCGCTGATCTCTTCCGAGGCCTGTGGCACCCTCCAACTGCGGACAAGCGTGGGGGGGGTGGCGGCGGGGTCGTCGGCAGTCTTGCGCAGCTCTGGGAACACTGCACGGGAGCCTTGTCTGAAAGGTCGAGGGAGAGTCGGAGAAGAGAGTACAGTTTTTTTTATATACATGCTCCGCGTGCGGATCAGTTATTAGAAATGCAGGGATTTAGGATTAAAAACAACGAGGGGTTCATGCATAAGTCGATTCATAAATTAATCATGTATTACTAATCTTATATGTTTAAACGTCCTATGTTTTAAATCCTGCCCTGTACGCATGAACATAAACTTGTCTCATCGGCGACACCCCAGCATTCCAATACTGTGTGTTACTGTGTGTGCGTCGCCCCCCGACGGGGCGACGCGCGCACCGAGAAGTCTTACAGCATGTGCTTCTCAGCGGGAGCTCTCTCTGGCCGCACCGCTCGGGAGACGATACGCTACAAGATGGTTGTGCTGTTATGTGCGGGTCGGAAGCGCGCCTCCAAGGAGAACATACAGTTCTGGTACCCATCGGACGTTGAACTTAGGCGTTTCTGGGGTCCCAGATGGTTGTACCGTTGGGGGGCCACATGCGAATCCTACCCCTACCCCCTTCACGATTTCTGAGGGGTATGGGTAGGGTTGGCATGTGGCCCCCTAGCTGTTATGTGCGGGTCGGAAGCGCGCCTCCAAGGAGAGCATATAGTTCTAGTAGCCATCGGTCGTTGAAATTAAGTGTTTCTGGGGTCCCATATTCCAATATACTTAAAGCGCCTTCCTACTTCAATGATCAGGCGGCTTCGCCTTTTCGTCCTCTTGAGGGGGCGGGCGGACACCCATTATACGCCCACTTCATGTGCCTACCTACTTCCTCCGACCGATAGACGCGTCTCTGTGCGTCCCATGCTGGGGCCTTCTATAAACCAGGACACTGCTGGTCAGGACCTTGAGAAGTCGATCTGGAGAGGGCAGGAGGGTTGGGGAATGTGTCGGCCCACTGCTGCCACCTCTCTCTTGGGCGCGCCCACGTCCTGGTCTGCCAAGGTTCAGGAGGGGGATCACGCACAGGCACAATGAATCGTCGACTCCCAGGAAAATATGGGAAGTGGGGGGGGAGAGAAACATCCCCCCAGAAATAGAAAGCTATGGGGGATCCTGGGATTTGTGCGTATTTACGCGTATGTCCCTAGACCCCTTCAGTCTTGGGCGTGCTTCAGGGGTCGAAGGAGAGGGAGAAACTTCACAATCGTGAACTTGCGGCGCTCGGCCCGCCTGGCGGCGCCCCTGGCGCCGCCCCTGGCGCGCTCCGCGCACCTGGGGCGGGGAGTTCGGCGCGGATCCAAGAAATCCGCGCGGACCTCCGAAAGTTCATGCTTACGGTAGGTTCGCGTCGCGTCGACCAGCGGCGACCCCGCCGCTGGCGTTCATTGTTGAACGCCGCCGGCGACCCAGAATCGATCGATGTTGAACGATCAGATTCTTTTTAGATTGAACGATCCCCGCGGTGTCAGGAACCAGCCAGCACCGGGGTCGACACGACACGAATTCGCGGTATGCCGTTGCTTGTTCCTCTAAGTCGGATTCTTTGAGCCGCCCAATGTAGGGGAACGAAGAATGGCATAAACATGATAACTTGGAGGTCCGCGCAGACCTCCGAGTTGTTATGTTTATGTCGTTTCTCGTTCCCCTACAATGGGCACGTGCGAGCTGGTCAACATTAAGTCAGACACGTCCCTCTACAGGAGAACATTCCAAAATAGCCAACAATAGTCAGGGGACGATTTCCCCGAGTATCTCTCACATCATTTTTGATTGTTATATAATTCTGTTTTGTTTATCGTCCAAAATCCCCCTCTAGGAGGACATGCCCGACCAAGGCCTAAGGTTAACACTCGGGTGCCGCCAGAAGTGGCCCGGACCCAGTGTGGCCCCAGCTTCCCCGGGGAGGCATGGATGGCCTCCAGAGAGCAGCCCTCACGAGCCGTGCCCGTCGTGCTGATACTCCTGGCGGCTCTAGAGGAGGAGGAGGAGGAGGAGGAGGAGGAGGAGGAGGAGAAGGAGGAGGGCGAGGATGACGAGGATGACGAGGAGGAGGAGGAGGAGGAGGAGGAGGAGGAGGTTGATGCTCAGCGGGGGCTCCAGGGGCCCCCGGGTGGCGCGAGCTAGCCGGGAGCGCCCCTTGGGCCCGCGGCTGCGGCTGCGGGCGCGGCGCGCGGGGCCCTCAATTTGCGAGCAGCCCTGCCGTCGGGCGCAGGATATACGGTGGGGGCGGCGTTGGTTAGGGATCGCGCCCGGGAGGCAGCAGGCCCCAGAAGCTCCCTTCTCTGATGAGGGCGGCGGTGATATCCATTAGTCTAGATGGGGTGATATCCATTAGTCTAGGCTTCCTAGATATCCCTGCTGGGGTGATATCCATATCTCTGATGAGGGCGGCGGTGATATCCATTAGTCTAGGCTTCCTAGATGGGGTCCGAGTAGGTGGGGTCGGAGGATCGCGCCGCATCGCCGATGCGTCGGCGATGCGGCTCGATGCGGAGTCCGACTTTGTCCGCGCCGGCGTCGCCGATGCATCGCCGACGTTCCCGATGCATCGCCGATGCATCGCCGATACATCGGCGATGCATTGGCGATGCGGCGCGATCTTTCAACCCCATCTACTCCGACCCCATCTAGGAGGCCTCTAATTAGGGGGCCATTTGCGAACCCTACCCCTACCCCCCACGATTTCTGAGGGGGGGGGTGGGGTTCACTTCGCTCGGGAGCTCTTGAGTTTATGCGAACCCCCCCCTCCCCCTCAGAAATCGTGGGGGGTAGGGGTAGGGTTCGCAAATGCCCCCCTAGTCCATGGCCAAGCCTCCATTGGAGCCCCACCGGCCTCCGGGCCCTGGGTTCCGGATCGAAGGCCTCCTCAGCCGATGCCCCCATCGCCGTGCTGAAAGTTGCTGGGCACAGTCAAAAGCCCGAACAAGGACGCGCGACTTGACTCGTGGTACCCTTGCGTCCTTGCTCTTCCTTGCGCTTGCGTCCTTGAGGTTTTCGCCGCCCGCCGCCCCAGAAATCCCAGCTGCGGCTTCCAAGGGTCTTGCCTCCTTGCCGCGCGTCCTCATTAGGGTTTTTGATGGTAGTCTGCGCAGGTGGGCCCCCGCCACGCACCATGGCGGCGAGACGCCAGGGCACGGCGGCAGGACGCACCCTCTGGCTGCGCCCAGGGGCGGCCCTCAAGACCTCCCGACGCCCCGCGCGAAGCACCTCGGGCCGGGACCCCTCCCCTGGACGTGTGCAGCCCGAGCCATCGGTGGCCGGACGTGTGCAGCTCGGGGCCCTTCCTCTGGGGCCCTCCTCGGGGCCCCTCCTCGGATCCCTGGACGTGTGCAGCTCGGGGCCCCTCCTCTGGACGCGTGCAGCCCGAGCCATCGGTCCCCGGACCCCGCCCGGGAGTCCTCCGGGCGCACGCGGGCGGCCCGAGCTGCGTCCAGCCGCGGAGGCGACTTGGCATCGTTCGGACGTGTGCATTTTTTCTCGGCGAGGACCATCGAGGACCGCCCGGGCGAAAAAAAAAAAAAACATCGAGGACCATCCTGGACCATCGAGCAAACAAAAGCGCGCACGGAACCGAAAAAGTGCACGGGAAATGGACGTCCGAGCGATGGCGAGACGAGGGCGCCCTCCGAAGGCAGCTCCTCGCCACCGCTGCCTCCATGGGCCCCTCCTCTGCCACCGGCACCGCCCAGACACGCGTCGACTACAGTCAAAAACCCTAACAAGGACGCGCGGCTTTGCTCAGGATACCCTTGCGTCCTGGCTCTTCCTTGCTCTTGCGTCCTTGAGGTTTTCGTCGTCCGCCGCCCCAAAAATCCCAACTTCGGCTTCCAAGGGTCTTGCGTCCTTACTGCGCGTCCTTAGTAGGGTTCTTGACTGTACGTGCGCGCCGGCCCCGCAAAGGCGACGCGCGCTCTCGGAGATCTTGCAGCATGAACTCCGTGGGGGGCGCTTGCGGCCCATGCCGCTTGGGCAGCGATGCGCAAGAAGACGCGAGTACTATACCTGCGAGTCGGGCCCGCGCTTGCAGCATCAGCGCACAGTGCTGGTGTGTCCTTCCGTGTCGCATGCCAGGAGGGTTTCCTGAACCGCACCATGGGCATGTTCGAGCTGGTCATCGGCGGCACCCCAACGTGCTGATACTATGTGTGCGTCGCCCCCCCCCCGCGGGGCGACGCGCGGGCCGGGAAGAATTGTATGGTATGCGCGTCGTCGCGGGCGCCTTCTGGTCACATCGCTCGGGAGACGATCGGCTACAAGATGGGTAGACGGTCATGTTCGGGTCGCGCGCGCGCGCCTCCAAGGAGGACGTACAGCACCAGTCTGTCTCTGTGCGTTCGTTGCGCTCCTTCTGCCCCCCCCTCTTTGTTAATTCAAGCTTCGCGCGGCCCGCTTAGCTTCGACCGGAAGAGGTGCGCTCTCGACCCGCGAATAAAACAAAAATTGTCTCCGTGCGCTCCAGGTCAACATGTGCGTCACCGTGGCCCACCCGCTGGCGCTCTGCGGCGAGCGCCTCTGCGAGCTGCTGGGCCGGGAGGCTCTGGCGCGCGTGGCGGAGCTGCAACGCGCGGCGGAGGAGGCCATCGGGGGCCACGCCAGGGGGGCGAGGAGGAGGAGGAGGAGGAGGAGGAGGAGGAAAAGGAGAAGGAGAAGGGGGTGGGGGGAGGAGGACCAGCGCGCAGACTGATGAGGGGTTCGGCCGTCCAGGGCCACAATCCACTACCCCTGTAGGGGGCTTTCCTGGCAAGCGAAATCGACCTCGGAGGCAGGCGGATTGCTCATATCACTTGAAAAGTCCCAGGCGACACTTCCCCCACTCGGATTACCAGTCTCGAGGTCGGTGGGGTTCGTCTCAGCCAGTTCTTTGACCAGCTGGGCCAGTGGGATCGGTGAACGTAAGACGATTGGTGAATTCGCGGCCCCTTTGGGATGTCTACCCTCCGCAGCTCTTTGCTTTTGCAAACGTCTGCCGTGGTTAGGGGGCTCGCCAGGACAATCGTCTGCTAGCCCTCTGGTGCTCTCTGTGAAAGCTCCACAGGTCCAGCACAAAATCAAACTTTGGGGACTGCATGCGTTTTCGTAGCCAAAGAAGTACAGCTTGTGGCCTCGTGGATTGCTCACTAGGTTACTGTGGTGCTCACAATAGCCAGGGCATTTCACTTGGTCATGTCTAGCCTTAGCTGCGCTGGTAGCGCAGCTGTGGCGGCAGGCTGCACATATGAAGCTCTTCCCCCAAGGGTGCCACTGGTGCTTTCGACATTGAGGATCCAAAGCGAGGGAGGGCCTCGGCAGAGGGGGGGGAGGTATCAGGCCCCATGAGAGGCCAGCCGACGCGGCCCCAGTGGGCGGGTTCAAACTCTGCATCGGCTTATCGAAGGCTTTGGCACCGACCTTGGGGGCTACTGGCGGCCATAACTGCAAGGCTTCAGAAACGTATGTTAAATATTTAACAAATAGTTGGTTCTGGGCTTCCTGCAACTCGGTCTCTTGCAGACTCGGTTGATAGGCTCTAGCTGCGGCGATCTTCGCATATCTGTCGGCAGCGTCATTGCCCTTGGCGCGCCGCCATTCAAGACTATACTCTGGGAGCTCATATAACTTGACGTGCGCTTTAATATTGTTTAAACGCGGGCCCAAGGGGGTAGCGCAAGCGCCACCAAGGACCTTGAAGGCCCCATAGAAATCCGAACGCGAAAAACTTTCCTTTCGGTGCACGTCTATGGCTCCTTGGTAATCCACAAACATCTGGGCGTGTGGGTGCACATTGAGACCAGCAGCAAGCACAGCACAGTGCTCAGCAGCGGGGGAGGAAGAGGGGAGGTATTTGCCCACACGCCCAATGAGGTAGGCAAAAACTTCTCCGTGGCCATCGATGGCCACCACGGACCAACCAGCTGCGTTATAATTCTTGTGCCCTCCAGGTTTAAAACAGGAACCGTCGGTAAAAACTTCACCAGCAAGGGCCTCGTGGGGCTGCATACTGGGGTCTCGACACCAGAATTCGGCATAGTCATAGCCAAACCCGTCAGGAGCCCCTGTTTCGAATTCAGGTTGGAACTGGATGCCGTACGCTACAGCCTGATCCGTTACCCTCGAAATCGTGTCTAGCTCATCATCAGTGAACGCGTCACGGAGCTGGGCACTGAGCGAGCACTGTAAAAGTCGGTGGCGCAAGTCGCCGCACTGGTGCCCGCACTGACATTTTCCGTCAGAGTCGTACCCAGCTCGTTGCAGCCTCGCGCTGGTCCATATAATCTGGGTGGGAAAGCTAAGAAGGGTGGATCTGGCTTTCTTTGGCAGCGTCTTGCCAGCCAACATTTTTCGGGCGATACTGGCGTCAAGGGTCTCCTGGGGGTAGCCTAGCTTCCTGGCCGCCTTCCTGAGGATGGCCTGCCCCCAGGCCTCTTGCATTTTCTGGGTTATCATTCTGGGGGTGCAAGTTGTGAGTGGGTACATGCACCCATTCGCATCCTGCACCTCCAAAACAGAAACAAAACTCCAACCTATCCGTCGAAGGGACAGACAGGCGGCCCCAAAGGGGCCTCTCTCGGCCGTCCACTTACTAGGCTGATTCTGGAAAATCGGCTCGGCTCGGCTTTTCAGTTCAAGTAGTTCTCGGGAGTGGCTGGGTCTCGTCGCTGCGCGCCAGATCATGGCCGACCAGGTCAAGGCTGGACCTAGCCGTGCTCGCCAAGTAGGATCTCCTAGTGCCGCCAGACTTAGGGACCTGCTCATCGTTGCGCATCGGGGCCCCGCTACTCTCAAATATTCCGCCTGGAGGTTCTGAAGCTCCTGGGGGGCCTACAACCTCAGTGCCGTAGGTAAGGGCTTGCTGGAGCCCCGTCTTCCAAAGCTTTCTGGTGTCTCCCCCAGCTATCTTGACCGCTCGTATTCGGTGTCGTCGTCGTTTGTGATTAACAAAACGCTTGTATAGGGTCGCTTTCGCAACCCGTCGTCGAACTCGGCACCTCGAAGCCCCCGCGGCGCTGTCGATCCCAAGATTGGTGGCACTGTGGGCGTCTTGGGGCCCCGCATACTTCCCAAGGGCCCTCCTAATTTGCTTTCGCAGTCTGGCGGTAGAAGCAATCACCTGAGCTTTGTGCGGCGCCAGCTTGCACTCGAGCTCTTCGGTCACCAGCGCTGCAAGCCTAGCCGCTGAGTGTTGCAATTGTCGTGCTAGGGCCTGGGGGTCTCTGTGCTGCTGTCCCAGGAACAGATCATCGATGAACATCTGGAGGTCCGTGCCCTTGGAGATTGCTTCAGCCCAGGTGTCCAGGGGTCTCAAACTGTAAACTTGTACCAAAAAAGTTGCCCAGGCACATTCAGCTGCAATGCCGCGGGTGGGGTGGTCCACCAGCTGTACCAAGTCTCTGGTAGCCACCAGTCTCGCGCTACTATACTGGCTTGAAGTCACCTTCAGCAGGGCGCTGCTAAAGCCGGTGTCGTGGGCCCTCTCTATCAGCTTCTGGTGGCTGATGTGCTCATAGTAGTTGCTGAGGTCCCACAACACCGCGCCTGAATGGAGTGGATCTTGGCAGGTCGCTCCACTCTCAGCCTTGAGGCTCTGGCGAAAGACTGTTTCGGTGATGCTCTTGCCCGCCTGGTGGGCCAAGAAAGGTCGGCGGCGCTTGGCCTCCCATTTGTTTGCTTCAGTGTGTCGGACCTTGGACCAAATTCGGTAAAGCCCTGGCATCATACCTATTCCTCGGAACTGGGCCACGGTCTTGGCCTCTGGCTTCGCTTTGGTCTTGGGGATCAAAACCGAGACAAGAGCCTGCAGCTGGGTGGGCATAGCACCTATCTTCTCAACCATGTGTAACAATCGGCAGACGTGCGCAGCCTGCTCCAGATTCAAACTCTGAAAATGCTTCGGGTGGAATCCATCCCATGTCGAAGCAGTCGTATGCGAGAAACGTTTGGCGGCGTCGATGAGAACCTGGGGCTCGATGGGTGGCAAACTGGGCTCATGGGGGCCGGCGGGGACATGGTAGTGGGGCCTGTGGTAAGACGTGTCCCAAAGATCTTCGAGTCTCTCAGCCTCGCGCTCCAGGACGCGCGAAGGTCTCCCAGTCCAAGTGCCTTTTCCAGGGGACCTCCTTGGGGCTCCGCGCATCTAGCATCTTAGTCCAACGGTGAGCCCACCCTCCATTTCCTTGCATTCCAATATGGACCCACTCACGCCAGGCTTTGTTGGCAGATCGCTTTTCCAGGTCGATCTCAATATTTAGGCGATTGTTGATGGACTCCAAAACATCATCCAAAACTTGTCTCCCGTAGGAAATCTCCAGGACCTCAGCTTCAACGTCCAAAACAAGGAAATTGAAGGTCTGGTGGGTAGCCTCTAGGCACTCGCGGAGCGTCTCTATCTCGCAAAACTCGTTCGGTGGGTCCTCTAGGCACGCGATAAGCTCGGCAAGGGCGTTCGCATCTAGCTTCTCGAGGGTGAAGTAGAAATGCTGCACGACATGCCGAAGCCATCGGAGCGGGCCTGCCTGGGATTTCCACGCCACCCGATGAGTCTTCAGAATCTGTTTCGCTTGGACCCATTTGACCCTAGGCGGGCGCGCTCTTGGTCTAGAACTGCGTTTCAAAACCGCATCGGTCAGACCGGCAATCGTAACTTACAAATCCCTGGCCAGGTAGTGATAAACCTCATCGAGCACCCGTTGTTTTCCCCTTGGATCGGTCTCTCAATGCTCCTGTTGAGGATGGCTTCGGCAGCGTCTAGGGCAGCTTCTGTGGCATTCCACTCGCGCTCTGGCAGTCTGGGGCCAAAGACAGGCTTGGTAGGTAAGCGCTGCGGCTTGCACAAAATAGGGACTGTGAAAACTTCGCCAATCTCGATCTGCACACTGACAGGGCGATGTGGTGAGAGGGGGTAGGAGACATGGACACGAGGTGTGTGTAGCACATGCTGAAGACATCCACTGTAAACAAAATAATCCAAACATGACTGAGAAGTCGCGGTTCTGCATGTCGGGGAGGAAGGATGTAAGATCTGCATGCCTGCACGCTGTATGTAGTCGTTCCTCTGCAGCTTGCTAGGACTCATGTTGTAGTCCCCTGCTACAAGAACGGGAATCTGGCATTCATGCTGCAGTATGGCGGTGGCCGCCAAGAGGTTCAAATTTGTCTCGTTCAGACCTGTGCTGACCTGCATGCACACGGAAAGAATTCCTATGGCTCCAAGCCCCGGCAGCTCTACTCTTGTGCCGACCAGGCGTCCCTGAGGTACCATGTCCTGAGCTTCCCTGGGCACGTTCATGTCCTGGATCCCAAAGTCCCGTCCACTCCTGATCAAAACGCAAACTCCAGAAGTCGGGGTCCCCGTAGAGCTGAATGTGCCTGTCTCAAATAAGGCTTTCCATCCGTGCCGTTCACACCATTGACTAGCATAAACGATGGACTGCTCTGTACATAGCTTAGTCTCCTGCGCACATATCACCCTGTCGTCGTCGGAGGTAGCTGAGCGAATGTACGTCTTCACCTGCTGCCAGCAACTGCCATTGATCGTGGTGATCCTGAGGCTACCCGCAAGGCGGGCGATCGCCACTCCTTTGGCCAGCTGGGGATGTTGCTGCCGTCGCCGAGAGCTTGAGCTTCTTGCTGACCTCTTCGCTGTCCAACTTCACCTTGGCAAGGTCCTCCTGGCTGCTCTGGAGCGCTTCAGCGACTCGCTTGCGTGCATCCTCCATCGCTTCATCATCTCCTGGGACTGGTAGAGCAACCGCCAAGTCGTCATCGTCCTCAGCCTTCTCGCCAACCTTGGGGCGGGGGTCGGCCTCTTCATCTCCACTCGCCTTAGCGGCCTTTGCCGCAGCATCCACGCTCTTCTGCTTCGTCTCGGTTGACTCCAGCACCTGCGCCACCGCCAGCAAGTGCTTGTCGAGTTCTTCGGGGATGTGGTCCGTTGGCTTGTCGATTCTGGTCGCGATGAGCGTACGCATCGCCTCGGATATGGGCACTTCCTGCACAGCCTTCTGCGCGGCCGCCTGCTGGGCCACCTGCAGCTGCACCTGGAGCCTCTGCACCTCGCCAGTCGCATGACCGTACTCCTTAATCGCATTATTGTGCTTGTCGGCCATCGTGACCAGCTGCTGGGTGAGCTGGTTGACCATGTTCTTGCACTGCCCGTGCTTGCGCTTCGCCTGCGCCAACTGGTCGGTGAGGCTCTGGGCCTGTTGATCAGGTGTTTTGTCTTGTAGTGCCACTTGCTTTGCTCGTTTGAACGCTTCGACCGCATCCTTGTACTCCTGACTGGCGTCACCCTTCCACTGCTTCCAGAAAGCCATCTGCGCCTGCGCGAGCTCGATGTGGTTCCCGCTGGAGTCATGCTGCTTGGCGCCGTCCATGACGACCTTGTCGGTGTTGTTTTCCTCGCGAGCAAATGGTTCTTCTGCTCCAGCTCCTTGGGGGTCACGAGAACGACCACGCCATCGTCCCCCACGTCTTCCACCTGCTTTCTGCCCAGCATCTCGTTCAACCTTAACGTTGACTGACCTCGGGCGACCTGGTCGTACTCCCCCACATCCTCCTGGGGGTTTGTCATCACTGGTAGGCATCTTCTTCGTGGCGAGTTTCGAACCACACCGCGTGCAGTGGGAGGCTCCACGATCGGCCCAGGCCCAGCCGCTGCAGCCGTGCCATGGGCACACCATATACTTGCCACGCGCCATGCCGATTCCTTCAAAAGCACTAGGACGGTACCCAACACGAGTAGTGCAAGAAGGCCCTTCGGCCTGGGCGGGCTGGCCACGCGCTCGCGTGGGCGGTACGTGGCCAAAACTCTTGGGCATTTTGGCGACGGATTGCCAAGGCTAATCGCTGGTTCTCGGGCGTCTATAGCCCTTCACAACGTTTAGCCTTGAGCCAAAATGGCTACGGGGTGGGGGGAGGAGGAGGAGGAGGAGAGAGGAGGAGGAGGAGGGAGGAGGAGGGAGGAGGAGGAGGAGGAGGAGGGGAGGGGAGGAGGGAGGAGGAGGAGGAGGAGGAGGAGGAGGAGGAGGAGGAGGAGGAGGAGGAGGAGGAGGAGGAGGAGGAGAAGGCTGCCACTCCATCGGGGGGGGCTGGCTCAGGAATCGAGGTCCGAGGTTCGCCCTCTCGACTCGGAGGCGAGCGAGGGGGAGCAGTGAGAGGGACAAGAAGGCCTTCTCAGAAGCCCCCCTCGCGCCTTCGGAGAGGTTTTCTCCGTGCCCTCGGGGAAGGCCGAGGCAACTTCGCAGATGGCCCGGGGGGCTTCGGGCCTTCTGCGAAGGCCTCCTCCCTCTCACTTCCCCCCGGGCCCGCCGCCGATGGGCGTGTCTGATCATCCCGGGGCGCGCTCGTGGCCACGGCTGGATCCGCCCCGCAGTTCTGGTCCGACCGCATCCCCAGAAGTGGTTCGGGGGAGGGGCTCAAGGGGGGGAGGCGCGAGGCTTTCGGGCGCTCGAGGTTCGAGGGCCTCTGGTGATGCTGCCGGTGCTCGGCGGTCTTCCGGCCGCGGGGCGCTTTTTTCCGCAGCGGCGCCCCGCCGAGGCCGCTCCGATGGGATGTCCAGGTCGTCCGGGACGGCCGCCGGAGGCCCGAGCTCTGGCCCCACAGCCACCGGGGACGGAGATGGGCTCGGGGGGGGGGGGGGGCGCACCACCCCCCGACCGCCTATGGATCGCCCACAGGAGCCCGGTGCTCCCACTCCGCCCAGGAGTGCTCGTTGTCGCCCTCGGGGGCAGATCTCGCCGAGCTCTCGGCGAGGTGTCGCCGGTGCCGTGTCGACGTGCCCCCCTGGAGCTGCCCCCCCCCCTTTTCATGCTGCCCCGAAGGACAGCGACAGCGACAGCGGCGGCAGCTCAGAGGCAGTGGGCGACGCTTCCACCGGCCACTTCGCCAATCCTGCTCGGGCCCACCCTGGGCCCGGGATCCGTACACCCAGATCTCCGACGATATTCAGGAGGGGAAAAAGCACACAGACACAATGAATCGTCGATTGCCCCGAAAATATATAGGAAAAGATGGGCAGTGGGGGGGAAGACAGAAACCCAGAAAATATGGAAAAATATGGGGATTATCTAAATTGGTGTGTACGGTAGGTTAGTGTCGTGTCGACCGGCGGCGACCCCGCCAGCGGCGTTCAACCTTGAACGCCGCCGGCGACCCAGAATCGATCGATGTTGAACGATCGGACGTTGCGGCAGCGGCCGATCGTTCAAGGTTGAACGATCCACGCGGTGTCAAAAACCAACGCCGGGGTCGGCACGGCACGAACCTGCCGTATTTGTTTGTGTGTCCTGGGGCCTGGGGCCTGGCGAGGGCACCCCGAGGCCGAGGGAGAGGAGGAGGAGGAGGAGGAGGAGGAGGAGGAGGAGGAGGACCTCCTCCTCCTCCTCCTCCTCCTCCTCCTCCTCCTCCTCCTCCTCCTCTCCTCCTGCTCCTCCTGCTCCTCCTCCTGCTCCTCCTCCTCCTCCTCCGCCTCCTCCTCCTCCTCCTCCTCCTCCACCTCGGGCGTGTCCCTCGCCCGGAGGAGTGTGCAAGGAATAGCGGAAACATACTCCGGATTCCATAATAAAGTAGGGGGGGTTACATTTGGCGGGGGGGGTTGATTTGATCTGTCTTGGGTTAGGGGGGGTCTGGGCAAAGTGCCGCCCTTTCATGGATGGTCTGGGGGGGTCTAAAACTTGCGGTCTGGGAGGATTGTGACCCCCTCCCTTTTATTACGAAATCTGGAGTACTCTTGAGACGATCTCTGGTGCTCTTTTGTCTACCTTCGAGGATGTTTGACAAATGCTCATCCTTCCTCCAAAATCCCCACGTAGGAAGAATGGCCCGACCGAGCCCCAGAACCATCAAGCATGGGTCAGGTACGAAAAACTACCCTCAGGGAAGCGGTCGGCACATGGTAGTCCCCAAACGTGGTGATGATGATATTTGACGGTGAGTCTCGGGTGATTTGGTGTCACCACCGGTTTGGGGGCTCGTTTGGTGTTTCGAGGATGTCTCGAACTTTGATGGGTCCAGGAGTCACAAAACCCTGCGGTGACCCCATGTTCCAAAACCCGGCGGTGACTTTGGGGGGATCCAAGGTCACCACGTGTTATCTCACCACATGGTTTTGGGGCTCCCAAGGGACCTCTGGGGCCGCGGATTGAAAACAACAGATCCGCGGATGTCAGTGTATGCGCCGTCCTGGCTTGGCCCGGGAGGCGTATACGTGCACCGATCTTGGGCCCAAGAGATCTGATTCGAGGGCCGCCACGAGGGCGCGGAGTAAGTCGCGGCTCGCGGCTCGCGATTCCTCCTCCTTCTCCTCTTCGTCTTCCTCGATGCCTCATCCTTATCCTCCTCGTCTTCCTCGATCCTCCTCGCGATTCCTTGTCCTCGTCCTTATTCTCCTCCTCATCCTTATCCACCACGATCGCCTAGGGGGCCGGCACGCGAGCGCGAAGTTTCGCGCGCAGTGCGAAGCGCGAAGCGCGAACATGGCTGCCCGTGCGGACTGGCAAAAGGATCGGTGAGGTGGTCGGCTGCGGTCGCCCGACAGAAGAGAGGGGCCCCGAGCAGGGCGGCGCCGAGGGGGAGAAGGCCCGAGACGCCGCGGAGGAGGCCGCGCGCGCCGGCACGCTCTTCGCCGCAGTGCTGGGCGGCGCCCTGTGCGAGCCCGTGGCCTTCACGAACCACTCCTGCAGTCGGAGGGGGAAGCACGGCACGAGCACAGTGTCTCTGCACTCTCCTCGCGGGCTCCTCGGATCGGCGCTGGGCCTCCCGAGGACGGCGCCTCCGGCGCCGCCCCTGGCGAGCTCCGAGGGCGCGAGGGAGGAGGGCCGGTGCGCCTATGCAAGAAATCCGCGCGGGCTTCCGAGAAGCGTTATGCTTATGCAGTCCTTCGCTCCTCTGTGCGTGCCGAACTGCGAGATCGACTTCTCCACCCCCGGCTGGTCCGCCGCTTCCACGCGCCCGATCCACGCGCGCGGACCCGGCCTCTGGATGAGCGCCGCCGCCCTGAGGCCTCTGGTGCCCGGTGACGAGGTTCGCGGGTTCGATCGGGCGGGCCTCAAGAGACGGGGGTCAATGCGAACGGGGGTCAGTCAGAGAGCCGGCCGGATCTTGCAGGATCCTGCAGGGCCCGGGTCGCAGTGATCTGGCCTTGGGCGCAGGATCCTGCAGGATCCAGCAGGATTTTGCAGGATCCTGCAAGGCCTGACTGACCCAGGTTTGGATTGACCCGTGGGTCAGAAGATCCCCGATTCGATGAAGAACCATTTGCGTGAGCATCATCGAATTGTCGGAGCTTTACGCGGACTTCTTGGATGGGCGCTGGACCCCCTTCGCGCCAGCGGCGGCGCCGGAGGCGCGGCCATGCGAGCCCCGCGCCGATGCAGGAAATCCGCACGGTGTTCCGAAAGTGTCTGCTCGAGTAGCTCGTGGTCCCTCGCGAGGTGCTCATGGCGTACGTGCCCTCGGTCGTCTGCAAGCCGTACGCCGTGCGGCAGCGCCGCATGCTGAGGTTCGGGTTCGCCTGCAGGTGCCGGGCGGGCGGCCGCGGGGGGCACGAGACGTGGGGGGATCGATCGAGGACTGCAGGAAAGTGCCCCAGAACGGTTCCTAAGTTGCCACCGCGGTCCCACAGGGTGCACGAAAATGGCACGCTTCTTCACCCCACGTTTCTAGACGTGCGACGTCCTGATCTTTTCCATACGGGGCCCCCAGAAATCCCGACCCTTTCCCCAGGGCTGGTTCTTCGTCCCGAGTCATCTGATAACGTGGGGGCCATGCGAGGGCCCCCAGATGCCGACAACAGTCAACACCCTTCCGTCGTGACATTTGAGCGGGCCCCCCCTCTGACAGCACGCACACATAGCCCCGATCGACCCCCGTACGGGTATGGGTGTGTGTGTGTTGTTCGTTCGTCGTCGTTTTCGTCGTCGTCCGTCGTCGTCGTCGTTTTTTACGGCTCGAGGAGGTTTGGCTTTTGGGCCGTCGTTCGGGCCCCCTGGCCGCGAGGCGAGAAGATTTCCAATCAGCAGGGAACAAAAACACACAGACACAAATAATCGACGATTCCCAGGAAGATGTTGCAGATATGGGAAGTGAGGGGCAACCGAACATCCAGAAAATGTGTGTTAGCCTGGCGAAGGACCCAACCATGTGCAGTTGTGAGCACCGTCGTTATATGCACCGCATTCGGAGGAACTCCCTACACATGAAGATATTTTCAGAGGTGTACGTGTGTGTATATATATAGGGCCACGAGACTTGTGAGGGATGTGCCAAGATTTGTCTGGTGGGCGCATGCGAAAGCGGCCACTGGGGCTGTCGGTGGAATTCCCGATGGGGCCACGAAACGCGTGCGAGATGTGCCGAAACAGGTGCGGTGGGCGCATGCGATCGCAGCCATTGGGGCCGTCGGTGGAGCTCGCTATGGTGCCGCGAAACGTGTGAGGGGTGTGCCGGAATGGGTGCGGCGGGCGCATGCGAAGGCTGCCACTGGCGCCTTCGGTGGAGCCCCTTGTGGGGTCACGAAACGTGTGAGGGGTGTGCCGGAATGGGCGTGCGTGATGCACGCGGGCGGTGGCATTGGGGCCTTCGGTGGAGCTCCGTATGGGGCCACGAAACGTGTGAGGGGTGTGCCGAAATGAGTGTGCGTAACGCATGCGGGCGGTGGCACTGGGGCTTTCGGTGGAGCTCCCTATGGGGCCACGAAACGTGTGAGGGGTGTGCCGAGTTGGGTGTGCGTGACGCATGCGGGCGGTGGCGCTGGGGCCTTCGGTGGAACTCCCTGTGGGGCCACGGAACGTTTGAGGGGTGTGCCGAAATGGGTGTGCGTGACACATGCGGGCGGTGGCGCTCGGACCTTCGGTGGAGCTCCCTATGGGGTGTGCCGAAGTAGATGTGCGTGGCGCATGCGGGCGGTGACAATGGGGCTTTCGGTGGAGCTCCCTATGGGGCCACGAAACGTGAGGGGTGTACCGAAATGGGTGTGCGTGGCGCATGCGGGCGGTGGCACTGGGGCCTGCGGTGGAGCTCTCTATGTGGACACGAAACGTGTGAGGAGAGCCGAATTGGGCGTGCGTGGCGCATGCGGGCGGTGGCACTGGGGCCGTCGGTGGAGCTCCGTATGGGGCCACGAAACGTGTGAGGGGTGTGCCGAAATGAGTGTGCGTGACGCATGCGGGCGGTGGCACTGGGGCCTTCGGTGGAGCTCCCTATGGGGCCACGAAACGTGGGAGGGGTGTGCCGAATTCGGTGTGCGTGAAACATGCGGGCGGTGCAGGGAGGAGGGGAGGAGGAAGGAGGGAAGGAAGGAGGGGACGTGGGACAATTCTCCTGACGAAGGACCCAACCATAAGCAGTTGGGGGCACCGCGTTCTGGGTCCACATTTCGACTTGCCTCCCTACTAGGCCACGGACCGTGTGAGGGTTGTGCCGAAATGGGCATGCGGTGGGCGGGATGGACGCATGTGAACGCGGCCACTGAGGCATTGGGTGGAGCTCCCTATGAGGCCACGAACCGTGTGAGCGGTGTGCCGAAATGGGCATGCGGTGGGCGGGGCGGGCGCATGTGAACGCGGCCACTGGGGCATTGGGTGGAGCTCCCGATGGGGCCACAAACCGTGTGAGGGGTGTGCCGGAATGGACATGCGGTGGGCCTGGTGGACGCATGTGAACGCGGCCACTGGGACCTTGGGTGGAGCTCCCTATGGCGCCACGAAGCGTGTGAGGGGTTTTCCGACGTGGGCCTGCGATGGGCGGGGTGGACGCATGTGAATGCGGCCACTGGGGCATTCGGTGGAGCTCCCTCTGGGGCCACGAAGCGTGTGAGGGGTGTGCCGAAATGGGCCTGCAGTGGGCGGGGTGGACGCATGTGAACGCGGACATTGGGGCCTTCGATGGAGCTGCCGATGGGGCCCCGAACCGTGTGTGCCGAAATCTGCATGCGGTGGGCGGGGTGGACGCATGTGAACGCGGCCACTGGGACCTTGGATGGAGCTCCCCATGGGGCCACGAACCGTGTGAGGGGTTTGCCGACATGGGCATGCGGTGGGCGGGGTGGGCGCATGTGATTGCGGCCAATGGGGCCCTGGGTGGAGCTCCCTATGGGGCCACGAACCGTGTGAGGTGTGTGCCGGCAATGGCATGCGGTGGGCGGGGTGGACGCATGTGAACGCGGCCATTGGCGCCTTGGATGGAGCTCCGTATGGGGCCACGAGCCATGTGAAGCCTTGGGCGCCATGCTCCCTATGGGGCCACGAACCGTGTGAGGGGTGTGCCGACATGGGCATGCGGTGGGCGGGGTGGACGCATGTGAACGTGGCCACTGGGTCCTTGGATGGAGGCCCCTATGGGGCCACGAGCCGTGTGAGGGGTGTGCCGACATGGGCATGCGGTGGATGGGGTGGGCGCATGTGAACGCGGCCACTGGGGCCTTGGATGGAGCTCCATATGGGGCCACGAGCCGTGTGAAGCCTTGGGCGCCATGCTCCCTATGGGGCCACAAGCCGTGTGAGGGGTGTGCCGAACTGGACATGCGGTTGGCGGGGTGGACGCATGCGAACGTGGCCACTGGGTCCTTGGGTGGAGCTCCCGATGGGGCCACAAACCGTGTGAGGGGTTTGCCGAAATTCGCATGCGGTGGGCCGGGTGGACGCATGTGAACGCGGCCACTGGGGCATTGTGTGGAGCTCCCTGTTAGGCCACGAGCCGTGAGAGGGGTGTGCCGAACTGGGCATAAAGTGGGTGGGGTGAGCGCATGTGAATGCGGCCACTGGGGCCCTGGGTGGAGCTCCCGATGGGGCCACGAAGCGTGTGAGGGGTGTGCCGACATGGGCATGCGGTGGGCGGGGTGGACGCATGTGAACGCGGCCACTGGGGCCTTGGGTGGAGCTCCCTATGGGGCCACGAAGCGTGTGAGGAGTGCGCCGAACACATGTGAACGCGGCCACTGGGGCATTGTGTGGAGCTCCCTATGAGGCCACGAACCGTGTGAGGGGTGTGCCGACATGGGCATGCGGTGGGCGGGGTGGACGCATGTGAACGCGGTCGCTGAGGCCTTGGGTGGAATGATTATGGGGCCACGAACCGTGTGAGGGGTGTGCCGACATGGGCATGCGGTGGGCGGTGTGGACGCATGTGAACGCGGCCAATGAGGCCTAGGGTGGAGCTCCCAATTGGGCCCCAAACCGTGTGAGGGGTGTGCCGATATGGGCATGCGGAGGGCAGAGTGCCGAAATGGATATGCGGAGGGCAGAGGCACGCATGGGAGGAGGGAGGAGGGGGAGGAGGAGGAGAGGATGAGGAGAACGCGGGGGGGGCGTCTCTTCAAAACGAGGACCCACCACAGGATGGTTGTGAAATGTATGAGGGATCGTGGGATTTATACTCATCTATGTGTGTGTTGCATCCTTGCCTGCTCGGCACATCCCCAGCGACTCGCTGGCCAACCTCGTTCGAAAAACCCTAACGTTGACCTCCAAGGACCTTGCATCCTTATCGCGCGTACTTATGATACGGGCCGACTGTATTGCCCCCCGCTATCGGAAATAGTTCTGAAACGGGCACGTCGTCAGAAACCAAGGCGCCCACGAGAACAGTGGGCGATTTCAATGTATGATTCGTCTTGTTTGTAACTCCACTTCGCCCGCTCCTCGTCCTCCTCCCTTTCCCCTCCCGCTCCTCTCTTGTGTCTTGCTTCACAGTCATGATGTGCACCGTCTTTCTGCTTCACCGTCGAGCGGGTGTACTTTCGATTTCCACGAAGAGCTGCCAATCGAGCACTCTTCTGCCCACGCGTCCTTCGGGATGCTGGGCTCAGCCAGCCAGTGAAAACGAACACCCGAGCCTGCCTCGGGGCGCCCTTCTGATTTTCATTTTTCGGGGCGGCACCCAGCCGTGTGGCGACGAGGAACCCGCGGGAGGAGGCCCCAAACGGGGCGGAACAGCAAAATCCTGGCTCGACCCTCGATTTCGAACACCCCGAGCCTCCGCCGTGAACTCTTCGAGCATGCCTGGGCTCACAGTCGACCCGCATGGCAAGGATGGGCAACCTTCCCAAGGGTGCCCCTGCGTTCTCGCCTCCTCGGTCCATGCCTGGCCAATTTCGTGGGCCGCGCCCCGCTCGAAAAGCGTCGAGATGGGCGCCCACGGCCTGTGCATCCTTGTCGTGCATCCTTACGGATACGGGTCGACTGTGTGTCGAATCGGGAGGACAGTTATCCTTCAAGCCTTTCGGCGCTCGACATGCTCGGGTTACCTGTCTCGCCTTTTTTGCGCCCTGGCGTCCTTACCGCGCATCCTTACTACACGGGTTGCGTGCGTGCTGCCCGCCCCCCGTGAGCACGGACCCCCGACGTCACCATATGATTCCGTCGTGCCGGCGCCCAGAGGTCTCGACCCATTCCAAATAAGAAGAAGAAGAAGAAGAAGAATAAGAATACTAATAATACTAATATTAATAATAATAATAATAATAGTAGTAAGAATGATCATAATTATAATAATAATAATAATGATAATAATAATAATAGTAATAATAATAATAACGACAATAATAATAATACGAAAAACAATAATAATAATAATATTAATAATAAGATTAAGAACAATAATAATAATAAGAATAAGAAAAAGTTCAGCACGTCGACCCCCAGATGTCTAGACCCAGTCCCCAGCACCCTGCTTCTCCTCCTGACTCGTCTCTGGACGGCCCCGGGGCCCCGCGAGAGGCCCCTGGAGGCCGACGAGCACGAACAAGATTAGCCTGGCGAAGGACCCAACCACATGCAGTTGTGAGTACCGCTGTTGTGGGTATCGTCTCCAGTGGAGCTCCCTATGACACTGCCACTGGGGCATTCGGTGGAGCTCCGTATGGGGCCACGAAACGCGGTGCTGGGTGGGGGAGACGCATGTGGACACCGCCACTGGGGCATTCGGTGGAGCTCCTTATGGGGCCACGAAACGTTGTGTTGGGTGGGGGAGACGCATGTGGACACCGCCACTGGGGCCTTCGGTGGAGCTCCCTGTGGGGCCACGAGTCGGTGTGCTGGGGGGGGGAAGCCGCATGTGGACACCGCCACTGGCACATTCGGTGGAGCTCCCTATGGTGATGATGGTGACGACGACGAGGACATGCGCAGGGCAGAGGCAGGGATGGGAGGAGGGAGGAGGGGGAGGAGTGAGGAGAGGAAGGAAGGAAGGAAGGAAAGAGGGAGGGAAGCGGGGGAGGAACGCGGGGACCGTCTCTTCAAAACGAGGACCCGACACCACAGGATGGTTGGGACATGACCTCCCGCCAAGTTCTCTGCACGACGCGAGGGGCCGACAAGTGCGAACACCTCCCGCACAACTCCTTTCACGACGCGAGGGGGCCGCCAGTTTCACAAGGACCTCCCGCCAAAGTCTCTGCACGACGCGATGGGGGGGTCCCTGGGGGGGCCGAGCTGCCCGCAGGTGCCGCAGCTGCCTCACCGACGAGGGCCTGCTGGAGGCCGAGGCGGCGCTGGCGGGGCGCCTCGGCGGGGGCCCGGACCCCGAGGGGCGAGGGCTGGCCTCGGGGAAACAGACCGCCGGGCGGGGCTGCCGGCGGAGCGTCCACGGGGCTCTTGGTATCGCTCGGACGTGTGCACCTTTTCTCGGCGGGGGTCATTCAGGAGCATCCTGGATCATGCTGCGAAAAACCGCGCACGACACCGAAAAAAGCACGGGGAATGGACGTCCGAGCGACGGGGAGGGGTTGGAGGCGCGCGCAAGGGGGTACAGTGGAGACCCATGCCAAGAAGCGCCCTGCTTGCCTCCAGGGTGCCCTGGGTGTCTTCGGTGTCGATGGTTTTGCGATGGAGAGCGTGACGTTCACGCACTCCAAATCAATGGACGTCCTGGGGTCTCAGGGCTGGATTTCTTGAAGAAGGTTTCTTGTGCACTAGCCTCCTCTGTTGGGGGAGGAGGGGAGGCATTTCAGATCGAAGAAAAAACACCATGAACATAAACTTTTGGCGTTCCGCTCGGATTTTTTGGATCCGTGCGGGGGCCCCCCCAAGCGACGCCTCCGGCGCCGCCCCTGGCGCGCTCCGCGCGCCAGGGTTGGGGGGTCCAGCGCGGATCCAAGAAATCCGCGCGGAGTGCCAACATATTATGTTTATGACGTTAAAAAAAAATCAGAAGAAGGCTGCTTCTTGGACGGCGCCAGCCCTACATCTGTAGACGAGGCCCGCGCCTTCTAAGAAACACGGGTGCTTCTGAGGAGGCTTGCCTTCTCCCCCCTACCCCCCTCTGCGCGCCGCCGGGGGGCCCCTGAATTCGGTACGATCGACATTGGTGCGGAGAAAATTAAGTCGAAGACCGACAGCAGCCCCTGATATCTGAACGTCTCAAATTGATCGAGCGGGCGTTCAGGCTTGATTTATGGGCTCAGGCTGAGTGTCGCGACTCGACGGGCGATGATTCAATGTTACGCCATATGGTTGAATTTATCTTAGGTGCGATGGTGCTTCTCCAAGCGGGTCAACTTTTCAGCCTCATGGGTCACGTGCGTGGTGGCTGCTTCACACAGGAAGCGTATCGTATTGAGCGGGAGCGCCTCACTTCGCGTTAAATCCAAGAATGCGAGTGAAACAAATGATTTTCTCAACCAGTTTTCGGGTGACCCACCCGCCCGTGGGTCACCTGCGCGATTCCTGTTTCACACGGGGGCGTATTGAGCGGGGATGCGTCACTTCATGTTGATGCCCAGAACGCAAGTGAAACATTTGGCTTTGCTCAACAATTTGCCGGGTGACCTAACCGCCCGTGGGTCACCTGCGTGGCGGCTGCTTCAGATGGAAACCGTATCGAACGGGAACGCATCACCTCATGCTGAGGCTCAGGATGCAGGTGGAACCTTTTTGTTGTTCAGCCAGTGTTGGGGTGACCCCGCCCGTGGATCACCTGTGTGGTGGCTGCTTCATACGGACAGCGTACGGTAAGGGCATTGGAAAAGTAACCATGGAATAAGGAGTCCAGGATCTCGAAGCCAGTGGACTGGCCATGGATACCACCGCCGCCTTCATGAGATATGGAGTCCCCAGGGTCTGAAGCCTCCTGGGCACAGTCCTTAACCATCACCCCCACCGTATTGAGCGGGAGCGCATAACCTCATGTCGAGGCACGGGCTGCAAGTGAAACGATTGCTTTTCTTTACCAGTACTTGCGTGATCCACCCGCCCGTGGGCCATCCGCACGGTATACGGAAAGCGCGTTGACCGGGGATGCATTACCCCATGTTGAGGCCAAACATGTACCTGAAACGACTGTTTTTTGTCATCCTGTTTTTGGATGGCCCTCCTGCCCGTGGGTCACTTGCGTGGTGATGGCCTCTTATAGAAAAAAGGTGTTGACGACGGAACGCACTACTTCATGCTCAGGCCCATCACGCAAGTGAAGCATATTTTGTGTGTTTCTCCACGAGTTCCCGGGTACAGGGTGACCAAAGGGGTAGATCGGAGGGCCCCAACTGTAGGACAAACGCGACCGTACAACGACGACGACGACGGGACGAACAGACCATCGACGGAAAACGACGGCCGACGGCGACCGACAGCGATGGACGACGATCCGATGCGGACGACGGACGACGGACGGCGACGGCGACCGCCCGAGCGCGCCGTGGACGCCCTGCGTTCTGCGCGGCCGCACTGGCTCGGGCGCGCAGGCGCCCGTCGCGACCTCGCGGGGGCTTCGGCGCCCACCTCCGCGGCCGCGGGCCCCAGGGCCCGCGCAGCGGGTCACCGTTTGCGCGTGCGCTCGCGGGGGGGGAGAGGGGGGGCAGTCGAGAAGTCCTGGAGTGGACCCGGGGGATCGAGGAGGAGAGGGGAGATAAGAGGAGGGGGGGAAATAGGACGATGTTGTTGATGATGTTGATGATGACGATGATGATGATGATGATGATGATGATGATGATGATGATGATGCTGGTGCTGATGATGATGGTGATGATGATGGCGATGATGGTGATGATGATGGTGGTGATGATGATGGTGATGAGGAGGATGAGGATGAGGATGATGATGGTGATGATGGTGATCAGAGGAGGAGGAGGAGGAGGCGAAAGATGAGAAGGAAGAGGGGGACGGGGAGGAGGAGGGGGAGGGGCAGGAGGAGAAGGAGGAGGAGGAGAAAAAAGAGAAAGAGGAAGGAGGATCGGGCGGGATCGGGGGAGGAGATGGACGAATTGAAAGAGGGCGTAGGAGGGGTAATATCGAGGGAAGAAGAGACAGAGAGAGAGAGACAGAAAGAGAGATGGAGATGATGCGCGAGGGAGATAAATATCAGGGACATGAAGGACGCAAGGAAGGGGGGGAGGCAGGTCGGGCTCGACCGCAATGTCCATCCTCGCGGCAGCACCGATTACATCACACCGTCGAAGCTTAATTGCAAAACAAAAAAGTGTTTCCGATGGTTTCCTCCGCGGGCTCCCGTCGACAGGGCCATCGGGCATCGTCGATAAAAATGGTTGTGCCAGCGCTCATGGACGCGACGATCGACAGGGTCATGGACGCGACGATCGCTCATCGTCGTACCCATGACCTCTGGAACCGGTTCGAGGCAATGGCAACCTTCAGGGAGCTCGTGGAAGAGAACCATCTCGCCATGGTCATGGACCTGGCGCGCGATTGTGCGAAGGCCGTTGCGCGTGATTTCGAGCGCCCTTCGAACCTCGTCCTCCTTCCTGCTTATACTTCGTCCACCACCTCCTCCTCAACCCGCTCCTCTTCCTCCCCCCCCTCCCGTCCTCGAACCCTCCTTTTCAAGATTTCTTCAAACCAGCGGCGTTCACTGACGTGTTCCCGTCTGTCAACGTCGCCGCATTAACGCGCAGATGGCTTCGAAGGCGGCCGGTCCAGCGACGTCACCTGCACGTCGCCCGCCTCGCCCCCCCCCCCCCCCCCCCCCGTCGAGCGATCGACCCACTGGGCCGCCATGGCCGATTCGAAGTTGCGCCATTCCGAAATGATCGCCGTGGACGACGTCGACCTGGAGAAGATCGCGGTGGCCACCTCGCGCGGGCATCGGGCTGGGAAAGGGCGACGGGGCAGCCCGGCGAAGAGCGCGGGCTCGAGCGGGGAGGGGCGCGCAAACGCACGCGCGCCCACGCCGGCGGCGCACGCACGCAGCGCAAACGCGCGCGAACGCGCTCGCACGTACGCGCGCGCACGCGCGCAGACGGATCTGCAACGCACATACATATATTATACCATGTAGAAACACACGAGCACGCGCGCGCACATACGCGCGCACGCACGCACGCGCGCGCGCACGCACGCACGCACGCACGCACGCACACGCACGCCCCCATCCTCGCCGCCAGGCGCTGAGCGCGCAGGGTGACCCGACCGCGCCTACGACTCAAGGCCCCGAGGGGGAGGGGGGGGGAACGAGGATTAGGACGACGGCGACGGCGACGATAATGATGACGAGGAGGAGGAGGAGGAGGAGGAGGAGGAGGAGGAGGAGGAGGAGGAGGAGAAGGGGGGGGAGCGGGAGGAGGAGCGGGGGGAGGGGGATGAGGAGGAGGAGGAGCGAGAAGGAGAGGGGTCAATGGCGACGATCTGCGGAGGGAGATCGAGGGCGGCGAGGGGCCTCAGGACATGGGCGACGAGGACAAGGGCGCGCGGGATGATGGGGGACCGGGTGACATTTCGCATGCGACGGCGGGGCCGAGCTGCGACGGGAAGGGCGATGGCGAGATAAAGGGCGATGGCGATGAGGGTTGGTGGACGATAGCGGTCGACGAGCGACGATCTAAGAGGCGGTTGGGGACATTTGCCCGGTCGGGACGCGAGCGCGATCGCGCGGCGTTGTCTGCGGGCGGGCGGCGTCGGCCGCGGTGGCCAGGGATCGGGCCCCGACCGAGTTTCGAACCGTCGCGCGGGCCACCGCTGGAAGGCGACCCAAGTCGAGCCCGCGTCGCATTCCCACGCGACGAGCGCCACAGCTTGGGATTCGGGGACGAAAACCCGCGCGCAGATCGAACGTCCCATCCGCCTCCCGCGCGAATGTTCCCCCGCGAGACTTGCGCAGAACACCCAGGCAACTTTGATTTGGCCGGCGCGAACGATCCGGGGCAGCCTGCGAACTGCAGAACGCGCGAGGTCCCGGTTCAAATACGCCTTGCGCTGTCGTTCCCGACTAGCTTTTGCAGCGGCGGGGCTCCTCGCGCGAAGAGGGGCGCCACAGCGCGCGCGCACTGGAACAGTTGCAGGACTGCCATGCGACATCCCATCTGCGCCCAGAGGAAGGCGGACACCCGCCAGCGCGCGCGCCGCGGCCCATGCGAAATCGGCGCGGCCATGGCAGCGGCAGCAAGGAGCGCGGCTGCCACGGCGGCCCGCGTCAACCCAGCGTTCGCGAACCACGGCGCTCCGCTTGCGAGCGCGCGGAGGCGCTGCGCGCGGCCCCCGCCCCCCCCGCCCCGGAAAAGGGGGGGGGGGGGGGCCGCGGAGCGTAGGTCGCACTCAGGGCGGACACGTTCGAGCTGATCTCTGCCCCGCGCTTTCGGCGGCGGGGCGACGCCAAGAGCCC